TGAGAGTGTGTGTGTGTGTAGGGAGGGGTGATGTGACTGAATCATGTCCTCTTCCTGGTCCCATACACAGTATCAGAAGCCAAAGGAGGTCCTGGTTGCTGAATCAGAGCTGCAGAAGGAGCTGAAGAAGATAAAGACAGCCCACGGCAGTGACGGGGACTGCAAGACCCAGTAGTGGACCCCAAAGCCTGCCCTTCAGGCACGGAGAGTGGGTGAGGCTCTTCCTGTAGGCCTGTGAGACTTCAAGACTTGGGCCTTTCTGGCACAGGGGCTGCCCCTTTTCTTTTGGGAACTGTCCAGGCTCTGTAAGAACTGGGCCCTGGGGCACTCTTAGCCCCTGCCCATGGTCTTCTCTCCTGAGTAAAGTCATTCTGAGTTACTGTGGGTGCACTGCCCTCCTGTCCACCTCTGTATGTCCCTGCCCCTGGGGAGGGTGCTGGTAATGACATTTCCTTCTCCTCTAGACTAGGGACCGGCCTCCAACATAGAGCCTGCCTTCTACATAAAGGCAGGTATGGGCCTTAGGTGGAGAAGAGGGCCAGAGAGCCTTCCCCACCCTTTCTGCATAAACTCATAAACTCAGAGGACGAGGCTGGAAGGGACCCTGTGTGCTACCTTAGCTTGCAGACCCTAAAGTAAGGGGGGTGAGTTTTTAAAATGCAGAAACAGCCCAGGATATTAAGACACTGTGGGTGTAAAGCCAGCACGAGGGTTGCAGCACTGCAGAGCGCTGGAGTAGGGTGAAGGTCACTGCAGGTGGACAGCAGCGTAATATCCAGAAGCCCTTCCACAGTCCCCAGTCCATACCCAACCCTACCCCCAGGGCCAAAGGGATCGGGGTAATGAGTTTTCCTAAAGAAAAGAAACCTTTATTCTTTGGGATACTGAGCCATAAAGCTGGTCTTAACACTTTCCTCAGTATGCCCATCCCCAAGTTTAGTTCTCTTATCTGGGGTCTCCCAGGACTCCCCAGCCAGTGAGGAACCAAACCTGAACAGTCAAGCTTTATTTTTACAAAAATGAACATTGTAGCATGTCTTAAATTCACTAAAACTGCAGGGTTCCCTTTGTCCATCCTTGGTTTTGAAGGAAGACCAGGGCCCAGTGCCCCAGGAATGAGTCCCCAGCCGAAGAGCTGGTCAAGGGTGGGGTCTGACTGAAGTGGAGGTTGAGGGTATTGGCAGTCTCCCCACCTCCTTCAGGAAAGGGGCAGGGAGGGACCAGCTGGGAAGGCTGGAGTACCTCACCTCACCTCTGAGCAGCCCAGCTCTAAGAAGGGGTGGGCCTCTCCAGGCCAGATCCTTGCTCTGGCCAACAGGGAAGCCAGGCCCGGCTGGGTTCAGCTGCTCTCTCCTGAAGCAGTAAGTCCCTTCTCTCCAGCTGGTTCCTGGGAAGGCCCCTGGGTGACCCTAATGCCCAGGAGTCAGCAGCCTTTACCTTGACGTGCCCGAGCGCCATAGTCACAGGCCAAGGAACACAGGCACAGTGGGGGAGGAGGTATCACTGTCTCCTCCAGGCAGGAGAGGTCCCTGAGTAGCTGGCTTCCCTGGCCCACAGGCTGGGGTGGCCCTGTCACGGGTTGTGAAAGTCCAGGATGTGGAGGTTATAAGATAGTGCGGCATAGAGATGCTTGGTGGTGAAGCGCAGACAGTACACAGGACTGCTGAGGGGGGTTGATGTCAGCGGGAAGGCCTGCAAGGGAGGGGCAAAAATGGTGAGAGCATCCCAAAGGGGAGCTGGGGGAGTCCAAACCCAGGACTTCCAGGCCCAGTGCAATGGGACAGGTGCTACTGTAGGCTTTCTCCCACCCTCTCCAGGCACACCGCTCCCAAGTGCAGCCCCTAATAAGTGTCCTGGCATCCTGGAGGCATGAGGGGGCGGGGCCCTTACGTGCAGGCAGGCCCTTTGGCGCCGGTCCCACAGTCGTACAACGCCGTAGTAGGAGGAGCCAGTGGCCAGCAAGTGGTTCCCATCCGTCTGCAGGCAGTACAGGGTGCTGTCATGGGGCTCCTCCCACTCCATGACACACTTCCTGTCCAGGAGGAGGAGATGCAGGGGGAGGTTTGAGGGTCCCCTCCACCTCCACCCCAGCTTCCCCAGGGGCCTTAGGGAGCCATTCTGGCTGGGAGAGGCTGAATCACCATATTCTTTTAAAACCACTTGATGGGGGAAGCCTCCTCAGTAAAGATCTTTCTCACCAAGCCCGTGACCCCAGGCAAGTTATGCCTCATTTACGCTTCACGTGGCCAGACTTAAACAGTCAAGAAAGGCCTCAAGAAAGCTGGGCGAATGCTGAAGGACAGCACTCTGATGGCTCCCAAAGCTCTTATCAGGGCCTGGTGGCTATGGTCTCCTGGACCACAGGACCAGGGCTGCCAGGATGGGGAGTCTAAGCTTGATCTTACCTTGTCAGTTGCTGTCTACCATCCCCTGACATGGAGTCTCTGTCCCTCTCCCTGGGGCCCACAGGACTGGAGGGAGGGCTAGGACTGGCACGGGGTTCCCACTACCTGTCCTCCCACCTAGCACACTCACCGGACACTGGCACGGAGGTCCCAGTAGCGAACGTAGGTGTCATAGCCACAGGACAGGAGTGTGGAAGGGGACTCATACATGACGTCCAGCACTCCAGCCCCTGGCGGAAAGTCACTACCCAGGTGTGTCATCAGCTGCCCACTGGGGAGAGAGGAGGGGCAGAGGATAAGAGGTTGTCCCATCTTGGCCCACACACAGTCTTTTAACCTTCAAACAGCATCAGTCCCTGGGGCATTGCAGCTCTCCTTCCTGAGCTAGAATTAGACTCCCTTAGGATGGGGACACGGGAGGAGATGCCCTTGACTCCCACCCCTCTGACTGGGTCCCAGTCCTTGCCCTTCGCCCTCCCCCAACTGAAGGCCTCATCAGTCACCAGCAGCCCCTCCATCACACCTGCACCCTGGCTGCCCACCGCCCAGCCACTCCTCCGCAGGACG